GTTGAGGCTAAAGTTGGTGCCGTCTTGTCAATCGTTAAGCGATAGGCATTTTTTGTTTAAAAACCATTTTTTGCCAAACTCTTGTTGAGCTGATCTCGCCTACTCTATTGTCGATATTTCTGGAGGCAGTTTCATCTAGGTCAAAGGTTGCGTTTACCGGGGATTGCCTTGTCGTTCGGATCAGCCCGGTTAGATCGTATTTTAGTTTTTGATTTGCATCATTAAGTATTTGGAAGTATTCGATGCGATCAACTGTTATTCGTGTTTATTCTCCACTTAGCAGCTACTAAAATGAAGATGAATAAAGCACTGAAAGCGTTGTTACATTGAAGGTAACTACTTGACTTTATTTCTGAAGTTCATGCAGAGCCTGCTGACCTTGATATGACGGGATGTTTCTCAGTTCTTGTCTCAGATTTCCCCTTGAGCGGAGATGCTGGGCACTGCACCCATAGTAGTATGTCTGTTGCTTTCGTTTACCAGTTCGCAACATAAGTTTTCAGCTCATGTAATTGCTGGAATGTTCGCAGTATCTGTTGATTGTAAAGATAAATCACATAATTTATAAATACGCAACTAAAAATAATGAAATATAGCAAGAACACAAACAGAGGACCTTTGAAACTGCTCATTTGTGGCTTTGCCCTCCAAACCCGTCAACGCCCAGCTTGTTTAGAAGTAGATTTATATGAAAAGGCAAAGCCGAAATAACCAATAAGCGGTTACAGCCAGAATACACTCCGCGCCTTTCTTGTAGTGATGAATATAGCCGACTACCGGTACTGTCAGCTGGTTATAACTCCATTCATTTGGTTTTATTTACTGTCATGCCAATTATTGGGCTACCTAGGAAACATTGGAGATTCGTATACTACTCTTCGGCTAATTTTGTAACTGTTTTTCCTCATTTGCAGCCGATGACGGGGCTTAACTAAATCGCTACCCTAGGGACTGCTCAAAGAAAAAACAAGTAAAGCAAAACAAATGAAGTAAAGAATACCATTTG